CTTGATTTTAACTGATTCTCTTATCTCCCCTGTAACTCTTGGCCCACCCAAATGGACTACTCTGTAAGGACTCAGGACTATTGTTGAGAAGATGAGGCTTAATTTCAGGGAATTTAAAAATGTTGCTATGAAATCCAAGCTGAAGGTATGATTTATGGCTGCCAGTGTGTAAATTCCATTACTCGCTGCTGAAATAATGATGATTAAAGTCTAAGTGTTGATGTGGTGTTGGATTCTTCTGAGAGCTAATAAATAGTTAAAATGGAGTGACAGGCAAAATAAATTCTGCATACTGAGTGCATAGATTAGGAACAACAATATGCCGTACACAGCTTTTAGCTTGCAAAGTAATTGCTGTAAACATTGGAAACAGAGTAAACAATTTAACAGACCTTGATTAACAGCAGTTTAAATAATTTTACATTTAATTTGAAAAAGGAAATTACATTTTCAAGACATTGGGGAGGGGGAGAAGAAAATCTTATTATTTAAAAACAGTGTATCGAATCTGACTTTAAATTAGAAGGCATTTGCTGGCCTCAGGCCATTAACATCTGTAGAGCATTTGACTCTTTCAGGACTTCAGTTAAATAGCTTTTTTGAAAAATACAGCAGTAGTAGGCGTGGAGATTTTTGCATGTATCTAAATGCCAAATGCATGATGCAAAACAAGGACAAACAAATTCCAGGCCTACAGTAGTGGTGTTTGACAGATGATGTTAGAGATTCCTAGTGTCATACTAGGAAGGAATATCATTAAAAATATGAATCAATGTACTTATGTTTTTGTTTTATAATCTTTCTGCCTGAAATAGAAAAGGCTATTGACAGGCTGTAAGTAGCAACATGTGAACTATTGAGTTGCGGTTTTGGGGAAAACAAAAAATAAAAGTCCTGTTTCTAGCTGTAGCCACTTGCAGTCATTGCTAAGTCTATCAATTTTTTTTTCCCTGAAGTAATACTTAATATGGTTTAAAGGTAACTGTAGGATTTTACCTTTTGCTGTGCTATTTCAGAATATTTAATCTTGCTTTATGCAAAATGTATATGGATATTATGCTTTGGGAATGAAGAATTGAATATTCTTCATTGATTAAATGTTCATTTTTGCTTGCCATCACAACCCTCTCCACAGAGTCATTTTAGAACTGGAATGCAGTTATATTATCTCTGGATAATACAACTTTTTTGTTTATATAAATGATTATAAACACATCAATGTAACTATAATGTAATTATGAATGGAAAGAGGAGGAGATTTTAAACTCCACATAGCATCAGCAAATGAAAAATCAGATTAAAACAATCCAAAGGAACATCATATCCAAATATTACAAACTGAGTATGCTTTGTCAAAGCACATCTCTCCTCTATAAGCTGCTAGTAATTAATGCTTTCCTATGGAAATTTAGGTTTTACCTATCAATTAATTAATAGATCTCAAGTCCTTCCCCTAAATAATCCTGGGCTGCTTTGTTCTCTGTCTGTGTAGCCAGACTGTATTACTCTTCATGAGATCTGTGAATAGAGAGTGGTAGTGCAACACAGCCCTTGTATAGCTTTGCAAAATGAGTCAAGTTTCTTCAGTTCCAGACCATTTTTGTTTTTGAGATCACATTATGTTCTGGTAACGTCAAACTTTTCTGTAGTGTGCCTCTTTAATACGCAACTTCTTTCTTAGGAGATAATTTTAGTATATTTCATTTAAATTTAATCTCATGATTTCATTTAGAAATGCTCAATAGCTGGTTTTATTGTATTATACATGTTACTTTAGAATAGCACAAGCTCTTCATGTATTTTGTTCTCAGGCATGCAAACCCGTATTCTTCTGTGTCAGTCTTTAAAACTGTACTTAATATTATTACTTCAGGTGCCTTTCATTTAGTTTGAAGGCCTTAACAATTTGCATGAAAATTTGATCCTCTTATATTTAAAAGGAAATTGCACATCTAACACTTGTCACTTTATATTGGTAACAGTCCATGTTGAAAGAAGAGCTTCTTTAGTGCACTTATTTAATAGTTTAGATTGGAAGGAGCCTCTGGAGTTCATCTAGTTAAAATTCCTGCTCAAAGTAGTACAGGCTGCAAAGTTGGATCAAGTTGTTCAGGGACTTGTCAGGTTCAATGTAGATGGGATGACAGGGCGTGGCAGCTTTTCCTTGGACATGCTTTTACGTTAGTGTTTAAAGACCCTCCTTTAAAAATACTCTTCTTTGGCTTTCTGTATTTTCCTGTATTGGAGCTCAGGAGTGTCACCTCTTGTCCTTTCAGTCTGGCTTTCTTTCCAGCAGCACTCTCTTTACACAGTGGATGGACAGCTTTTAGATCCCCATTGATTTTAGTAGCCCTTCACTGGGTTTAAGTTTGTCAGGATCTCTTTTGGACTGCAGTGCCCAAAACTGTAGTGGATCTACAGTCCTACCAGTGAGTGTCAAATAGAGGGGAATAATTCCTTTCCCTCTACCTGCTGCTCCCCTTATTAAAACAGCCCAGCATGCAGTTAGCCAAATTATCATAAGGGTGCCCATCAATTCACATAATGCTTATCCACCACAGTCTGCGGAGGGGTGTAAAGAAACATCATCAGAGGGGAAATAGGTATGAACTTAAACAGCAGGTTTATTTAAATCTAAAAGATTTGACACTTTCTCTTTTCAGTTACTGCTATTCTGAGTCTGAAATTAATAATCTTTTGAGGGTGTGGGAATTGATTTAAAAAATTGTCAATTTGTTCATTTTGAAAACACAGTATGCGGTAATGAAGTGTTGTAATTGTATACAGTCTTTCAACCTTTTTATTTATACCAAAAATATTTCTATAGTTTTATTTGCATTGAGGGTCAGGGTTTTCAGGCCCCCACCCCTTTTTTTTTTTGTTTTAATTTGTTGGCCATCTTCATTTGGTTTCATTTTTCATTTTCAAGAGCAGCAGTGTTCAGTGAGCAGGTGTTTTTACTAAATGCTTAGTGACTGACTGCATTGGACCCTTCCATATTTCTTCTGAGATGCGTTAAAATGTATTTCATTTATACAGGATTTAAAAAGGAATGGACAACTGTGTTTATGATGAAAGAATCACATATTTAAGGTCATGTTCTTTTTATTCTTGCTGTTCATTTTCCACTTGATTTTATTAGTGAATGTATTTAAAAACGTGACCTAGTGTGTGTCCTGGGTCACCTACTATTGATTTTTCTTTCCACTTAAAATCAATATTTATTCCAACTCTTTGTTTCCTTTCTTTAATCAGTTTCCAATTCATGACAAAACCAAACTCCGTAGTTTCCATAGCAACATCTTGGAAGGATTTTATATATGTGCCAAATGATTAGTTCATTTGCTATTTCCTCCTTTTTCTGAGAAATCTAATAAATTGTGATAGGCAGCATTTTCCTCTGCAGTTTGTATTTGTCCTGTCAGACTGTTTCAAACATTGGAAACCTACCGATGTTTAGGAATATTTCCCTAAATGTACTATGTATTGTATTATGCCTCAGTGACTTGCAATGCCTAGGACTACATCTACATGTAAAGGTGTGCGTGTGTGTGGCTGCAGACACCAGTGTGTGCACATATACACGTGTGTCCCCCTCTTCACCCTGACTGGCAGTCTGGAGGTAGAGCTCAGTATTAGTAACAATGTGTGTTACATGAGGAAGATTATCATGTGGTTCTTTTAATATTATTCAAGTAAAATTCTCACTGTAAACAGTCTTTCGGGTGACAGTTGTTTCAGGTGCCAGAGTGGGCAATATCCCACTTATTGAGAAGACTCAGTGTGACTCCTCTTGAACATTTGGTTTTCCTTGATACAAGTTTTAACATAAGATTCTAGTTTTGCAAGGTTGAAGTTGAGAAAGTTTTCTGTAGCAAAATGCATGGCATTTCTTTATTATTTACCACCATCAGCATTAGTCTCATCTGATTTCTACGGCATTATATTTTATCTCTAGACTCTACCAGGTATCAGTGGGAAACAGTAAGTATCTCCGAAGAGCAATCTAACCCACTTTTGTTATTATAAGTACTTTTAAACATCCGTTGATGGCAATTACTTTATACAAAGCAGCTAACGTTTGGGTGGGTAAAAGCATGGCTGTATGTGCAGCACATAAAGAACTTGAATTTAGGCAGGTGTTCTGGGAGCTTTGCTGCCCACCTGCCTGCTCCTCTGCATTACTGTTACTTGTCTGACATTATCACTGTTGATGGAATAGGATGGTGGCTGAGCGTCTTACCCTTTCTATACAAGAGTTCAATACTGCGAAGGGCAAGTGGTGTGCAGGGATCTTGTGTGGTTCCAGTGAACATTATGATTCAGACAAAAAGAGCATTGCCTGCATAGCGCTTAGGTGAACCCAGCTGAATTTCTGTGGGAGAGCACAATTTGAAGCATCAAAGTTAGTTCTAACTGTAACTTCAGAGAAATTGTGTTTGTGACCAGTTACCTATGCTGAGATTGTGCTAAAGTGTTGAAGAAGAGTGAACAATACCCGTGGCTCTTTGAAATAATATACTTTTCTGGGAATTCCACAATTTTGTATTCTTGCCTAGGCTTGGAAATATAAGAATCTGAAAGAAGATTGCTTCCACATGAGAGCAAGGGGGGGAGTACAGTGCATCCACTGCCTTGGAAAACATTGCTTAAAATTCCAAATTTGCACAAATAAAAAGGATTTTTACCCACCCTGGAACCCATACTTAAAACTGTATTTTTTTTTTATTAAATTCCAAAATTACTAATGAATTCTTCTTCATCATGCTTTAGACAAAAATAATTCCCTTCAAGAAATCTTACCTAAGGCATTTTTGATCATATAGATTTCTGGTTTGACTTTGGGAAAGGTGAGGCAGATACAGGTTTAGTGAGACTCTTCTCTATACCTCTTAGATCTTATCCCCTCCCTGAAAGAAAAATTGCCTTGAGGTGGAATTATTTCAGTGTTATGGTCTGATTTTTAATAAAATGTCCTCTTTTCATCTCTGTTTCCCAAGTATCATCAATGCTTTCCCCTTTCCATTGTATCATTTCAGGTGTATATCAAAGTTATAGACACAAATAATCACAGGCCACAGTTTTCTGCTTCAAAATATGAAGTTGTTATACCCGAAGACACCATGCCAGAGACAGAAATTCTGCAAGTCAGTGCCACAGACAGAGATGAGAAGAATAAACTGATTTATACTATGCAGGGCAGCACTGATCCCATCAGTCTTAAAAAATTTCGTCTGGACCCTGGAACTGGCTCTCTTTATACTTCAGAAAAACTGGATCATGAGACCATGAACCAGCATATTCTTACAGTAATGGTAAATAAATACAAATTATCTTCTGTAGCCAGTAACAAACAGATCTTTTTTAATGTCTTTTTAATTTGTCCCCTTAATTAAAGCATTTATTTGTGTGTTTAATTTGTGTGCAGTCTTTGTCTCTGTGATTGGTGCGGATTAAACCTTGAATTATTACTAATATCTGATGAACTACTAAAGTAACAGTGCTAATTACTAGTAATATGCTAACTGTTTCAGGTTCGAGATCAAGATGTCCCTGTAAAGCGCAACTATGCTAGAATCATCATTAATGTTAGTGACACAAATGATCACGCCCCATGGTTCACCAGCTCTTCCTATGAAGGACGGGTGTACGAGTCAGCAGCTGTTGGATCAGCAGTACTCCAGGTTACAGCATTAGATAAGGACAAAGGAAAAAATGCAGAAATTGTGTACTCTATTGAATCAGGTATATTGACTTTCTTATATCTTCAGTTTATTTTGAAATAATGCTTGCTGATACTTTGTTTCAACTGTAGGCATGTTAAAAACAGCTATAAAAAAAGAGGGCAGTACAGGTGTACATGTTGTATTCCATGAGAGGTATTTAAGAGACAGCCGCAGAGCATTTAAAAGAAAACTACAATGACAGATACTCATCTCCCTCCCTTAGCTATTTGTATTATCTTTTGGATACATTTAGAACATTTTATTAGTAGTAGAAGAAGCAGCTACCTTTAAACCCTTAGGAGGGGTGTGTTCTTTAGAAATTACAGAAGCATTAAAATCAGATCTCAAAAGCATTCTTTTTTGGTAATGTAAGCGATGTTTTGTGGCATAGGCAAAGCAGGGATTTCATGAAAAGAGTAAGAGCCTGAGACGAGTGCTTTCATGTTTAGCACAATGCAAAAGGAATTCAAAAGTAACTTACAAATATCCATACATTTGACCACTAAGTAGTTCCAGATTTAAAGTTAAACTCTCAGAGAGGTGTAGCAAGGAAGGGGGTTGCTTTGCATTGCTCCCTCTACCTGATTTTAGATAGTGGGACTGCTATTCTAGCTCAGAATTTGTAAGAAATTATTTAATAGCTGATCAATTTGGCATTAAGGCTCCTTTCAGCTTAGAGAAGAGCATTAGGTGCTGCTATTTATTTTTGATGTCAGAGTATCTTTCTGAACTTGCCTATAACAATGCAATTCAAATGATGGCAATTTTGATATGAAAACAGGATGACATTGACTGAGTTCATTTACCAGATGGAAGTGGATTTTGGTTCAGTCCATTAAATCTAGATACAAGCCTGACATTACAATGTCCTGAACTATATAGGCATTATGACTGGAAAGAAAAACATTACTTAAATTGCATTAGCTATATGCAGTACTGTTTTCAAGGTAGAAAGTAATCTAAAATAAAAATCCCAGTAACAAGCATAAGAAACATTATTTTAAAGAGAACAGTAGGTTAAAAGTTACTCAGTTAATGTTGCATGCAAAGTGATATGTGCAAATGTTTGGGAGTTTTTTTATTTTTATATTTTTATTTATCTGTTGCTTTGTAAAGCATAGGAATTGTTTATTGTAAATATTTTTTCCCCTCAAAGTGTTGTTTTGATACGAAAACATACTTTACACTGTATTAAAATGAAGCTGTGATTATGATATTCTGAAGAGGAAAAATGTGTCTCATAAGTTACTTAAAATACATGTTTGTTTTCTGTTATTTGTAGGAACATGACTTTTTTACTAAGCATGTCACTAATGTCCTTGAAGCTTTTCTTTTGCCCTTCCCATTCCAGTAGTGCTTGTTTTATAAATGCCAAAGCTAGAAAAAAAAGTGTGTTCTTGCTGTCTAGAGTGAAGTTTCACCCTGTTTGCTTCCTTTCACCTAATTTTTTGTGTGACTAAATATAAGATGTATGAGGTTTGTTTTACAGGACTGTGATCTACTGAGTGGTTAAAGCATTATAATCATGTCCTAAGCATATGGAAGGAACATTCCTTAAATGTTTGTAATGGCTGCTTAGATTTGTAATGGGATATTCTAAGAATGCCACTGTGTTTAGAGGCTCCACTAAAAAAAAAACCCAAACCCAAACAAAAAACCACAGCCCCCCACCCCTTCTTGCCTACTCAGAAATTGTTAATGAATTTTTTCCGTGCTGAGAACATGGCTTTAGTAATGTGATTTTTTAAGGAAGTAAAATGTAAATCTTACCATAATTAGTGCATGAGCTGAATATTGTATGCAGTGTAGTTCAGCCGTATATTTGAAAATGCAAAGAAAACACGTGTTTATCAAATGGCAGGTGGTAATCCTCAGCAGGTACTTTTTTTGGTTTTTTTCCTAATACTATCACAGGGAGTAACTTCCCTGTGTGTTAATAGGAAGCTAGGAGAAAGGTAACTATTGGTCCAATTCAGGAAGTTTAATTTTGCAGCAGTGATTTAAGCAATATTTGCATAACCAATTAAGGTTGGCAAGTATGAATTCATTAAAACACTTTTTTTCAAAGCAGTCTACTTATTTTAGATCATAAAATGTAACTTGTATTGCACTAATGTTAATTTCTGAATATAATTCTCTTTCAGCTTCAGTAGATATTTAATTTGGCTTAAATATGAACTCAATGACAAAGATAATTTGAAGAAAATACAGAATTTATAATGTTGAAACTTGCAAAATACTTGTTATCTTTTTAATTTTTTTAAATGGAAAATTAAACAATTTTTTTTTTAATTTATTTTCAAGGCTTGGATAGCTTTGCTGACTATTTTATGTAGTGTTTCCACAAGTAAACTTGGAATTAGTGCTAACTCTCAATTACAGAAAACTTTCCAGAGAGGCTAACAAATGTTTGTTAAACAGAACTAAGAAACTTTAATATTCAGTGTGTTCTCTTTTTTAGTATTTAGCTAAATAAGCAATCATCCTTGAAGTTCTGTATACCTCTTTCTAATTACTTTCTTTTTCTTTACAGGGAATATTGGAAATTCCTTCTCTTTAGATCCCATTTTGGGTATGATTAAAACTGCAAAGGAATTAGATCGTAGTAACCAGGAAGAATACAACCTGATGGTAAAAGCTACGGACAAAGGAGATCCTCCAATGAGTGAAGTGACCTCTGTGCATATATTTGTCACTGTTTCTGATAATGCCTCACCAAAATTCACAGCCAAAGAATATTCTGCAGAAATCAGTGAAAGTGCCAGTGTTGGTAGTTTTGTTGGAATGGTTACAGCATACAGTCAGTCTTCTGTTGTCTATGAAATAAAAGATGGCAATATAGGTGATGCCTTTGCTATCAATCCAAACTCAGGTGTCATTGTTTCTCAGAAGGTACTTGATTTTGAAACTTTGCCTGTTTACACTCTAACTGTGCAAGGAACAAACATGGCTGGCTTGTCCACTAATACAACAGTTTTGGTACATCTTCGGGATGAGAATGACAATACACCAGTTTTTATGCAGGCTGAATATGCAGGACTCATCAGTGAATCAGCTTCAATTAACAGTGTGGTTCTGACTGACAAGAATATCCCATTAGTAATCCGAGCTACAGATGCTGATAAAGAATCTAATGCTTTGCTTGTTTATCAAATTGTTGAACCATCTGTCCACAAGTATTTTGCCATTGATTCTAGCACTGGTGCCATTTGGACAGTAATGAGTCTGGACTATGAGGAGACAAATATTTTCCACTTTTCAGTTCAAGTACATGATATGGGGATACCTCATTTATATGCTGAATATGCAGCTAATGTTACTATTTATGTAATTGACATCAATGACTGTCCTCCTGTGTTTTCAAGAGAACTGTACGAGACATCTATTTTGGTTCCAACCTATAAAGGTGTGGAAGTCATCAGCATAAATGCCACTGATGCTGATTCAGGCATTTTTTCACAATTAATTTATACCATTATTGAAGGCAACATTGGAGAAAAATTTTCAATAAACCCTAAGACTGGAGATATAACAGTGCAAAATACAACTCAGTTAAGAAGCAGGTATGAATTAACAGTGAGAGCATCTGATGGCAGATTTGCAAGCACTGCATCTGTAAAAGTTAATGTGAAAGAAAGCAAGGCAAGCCAGCTGAAGTTCACACAGAGTTCTTACTCTGCAACAGTGCAGGAGAATTCCACCGAGGCAAAAACAATAGCTGTTGTTACTGCTATAGGAAATCAAATAAATGAGCCTTTGTTTTACCATATTCTAAATCCAGACAGCAGATTTAAAATAAGCCCAACTTCTGGAGTCCTTTCAACAACAGGAATACCATTTGATCGTGAACAGCAAGAATCTTTTGATGTGGTCGTAGAAGTGACAGAGGAATATAGACCATCAGTTGTTGCACACATTGTAGTTAAAGTCACAGTGGAAGATGTAAATGATAATGCTCCATTTTTTGTCAGTCTTCCGTATTATGCTGTTGTTAAAGTAGACTCTGAAGTAGGCCATGTTATTCAGCATGTCACTGCAGTAGATAAAGATACAGGCAGAAATGGGGAGGTGCATTATTATCTCAAAGAACATCATGAACATTTCCAAATTGATCCCACTGGTGAAATCTCCCTGAAGAAAAAGTTTGAACCAGATACATTGAACAAGGAGTATCTGGTCACAGTAGTGGCAAAAGATGGAGGAGACCCTGCGTTTTCTGCTGAAGTTACAGTCCCAATTACAGTTATGAGTAAAGCTATGCCAGTTTTCGAAAAGCCTTTCTACAGTGCAGAGATACCAGAAAACATTCAGCTCCACAGTCCTGTGGTACATGTACAAGCAAACAGCCCAGAAGGACTTAAGGTGTTTTACAGCATTACAGGTGGAGATCCTTTCAATCAGTTCACTATAAACTTCAACACTGGAGTTATAAATGTCATTGCCCTTCTTGACTTCGAGTCTCATCCAGCCTACAAACTGAGTATTCGAGCAACAGACTCCCTAACAGGGGCACACGCTGATGTGTTTGTAGACATAATAGTGGAAGACATCAATGATAATCCTCCTGTGTTTACAGAGCAGGCTTACACTGCAACCCTTTCTGAGGCCTCTGTCATTGGAACATCTGTTGTACAAGTGAGTGCCACAGATGCTGATTCTGGAACAAACAGGGGGATTTCCTATCACTTGGTTGAGGATAATGGTGAAAGTCATGACTACTTCTATATAGATAGCAGCACCGGACTCATTCTTACAGCAAGAACCTTGGACTATGAACAAATTAAACAACACAAGTTACTAATAAGGGCCATAGATGGTGGCATGCTGCCCTTGAGCAGTGATACCATTGTAACTGTTGATGTAACCGATCTCAATGATAACCCCCCTGTTTTTAACCAATTGCTTTATGAAGCTAAAATTAGTGAACTGGCTCCCCGAGGGCATTTTGTGACATGTGTGCAAGCATCAGATGCAGATAGTTCAGATGCTGACAAGCTGGAGTACTCTCTTCTGACAGGCAATGACCAGAAGAATTTTGTAATTAATAGTAAAACTGGTATTATCACCATATCAAACCTACGCAGACAGATGCTAAAGTCACATTATAATCTTAATGTGTCTGTTTCTGATGGGGTCTTCAGAAGCTCAGCCCAAGTCTATGTAACTGTAACCAGTGCCAATATGCACAGTCCTGTTTTCAGCCAGAATGAGTATGAGGTTGAACTAGCTGAAAATGCTCCGCTGCATACTTCAGTGACTGAAGTTAAAGCAACTGATGAAGATTCTGGTACATATGGCCACATCACTTACCACATTGTGAATGACTTTGCCAAAGACAGATTTTATACAAATGAGAGAGGGCAGATATTTACCTCCAAAAAGCTTGACCGTGAAACACAAGCAGAAAAAGTAATTGCCATTAGTTTAATGGCCAAAGATTCAGGAGGAAAAGTTGCTTTCTGTACTATTAATGTAATACTTACAGATGTCAATGATAACACTCCTCAATTCAGAGCAACAGAGTATGAAGTAAATATTGGATCTGATGTTCCACGTGGTACTTCTGTCATTAAAGTCTGGGCATCCGATGCTGATGAGGGTACAAATGCAGACATCACATATGCTATTGAAGCAGAGTCTGAAAATGTTAAAGAGAATTTAGAAATTGACTCATTGTCTGGCATAATTACTACAAAAGAAAGCTTAATTGGTTTAGAAAATGAGTTTCTGACCTTCTTTGTTAGAGCAGTTGATGGTGGATCCCCCAAAAAAGAATCAGTTGTTCCTGTCTATGCTAGAATACTCCCACCAGAAGTGCCTCTTCCAAAATTTTCAGAGCCGTTTTATTCTTACACAGTTTCTGAGGACATTCCAATTGGAACTGAGATAGATGTTATCAAAGCAGAGCATAATCAGACTTTAGTATATAGTCTGATTAAAGGGAACACTCCTGAAAGCAATAGAGATGCTTTTTTTGTGATTGACCGACAGACTGGAGAGTTGAAACTTGACAAAAATCTTGATCATGAAACAACTAAATGGTACCAGTTCTCAGTTCAAGCACAGTATGTAAATGAAGATTATAACATTGTTTCCTCAGTAGAGGTAAGCATTCAGGTAAAAGATGCAAATGATAACAGACCGATTTTGGAGTCCAATCCTTATGAAGCATTCATTGTAGAAAACATGCCAGCTGGAACAAAAGTCATCCAGGTTAAAGGAACAGACTTGGATTCAGGACTGAATGGGCAGGTTACTTACAGCTTGGATCCTTCTCAAGAACTAGACGTTGTAGAGTCTTTTGCTATAAACATGGAAACTGGCTGGATTACCACTCTAAAAGAACTTGATCATGAGAAACGAGACAAATACAAAGTCATAGTGGTTGCATCTGATCGGGGTGAAAAAGTTCAACTGTCTTCTATGGCTGTGGTTGAAGTTACTGTTACAGATGTGAATGACAATCCACCACGCTTTACTGCAGAGATATATAAAGGAACAGTCAGTGAGGATGACCCTCCTGATGGGGTAATTGCCATCTTGAGTACAACTGATGCTGATACAGAAGAAGCCAATAGACAAGTCTTCTATTACATTACAGGTAAATCTTTTTGAGTAATGTCAGAATAATCATTTGAGTGGTCCTGGCATGATGTGAGGTACAACTTAATCTTTCAAATTATTGAAAAGTATTTGAAACCATAGAGCTGCAAAGTAAAATGATCTGTGTCTTAATCCAAACATTAAAAACTTCAGGGGGGGAAAAGAGTTCTAAAAAAGAGATCTTTGGCTTTCCATTTCACGTGTGCCTTGCTTAAAATGCCTTCCCACATTTGTTGTTTACTTATATATCAAATTTTATTTTAGAAATAGACTTAAACTTAAATTAGTGATGAGTTAAAGAAATTTCACAAAATAATAGTTATTAATTTCTAATGGAGATTTTTATTAGTTTTGTTATTTAGCATATGTCTTGATACTATGTTTCTATAATGCTGCGTTACTTTCTACATTGATTTTTGTAGAACCTTTTGGCTACAGGTAAATTTCTTGTATGAGCATCTACTAACTATTTTTACTTGGAAAATGAAGCTATTTCCCTATAATGCCACAGGGAGTGTTGCTTATTTGCATTTACCTTTTTTTCCTCTGTAACTAAAACTTAATGTTGATCTACTAATAGTAGCAATTTCTCTCTTTAATAAAATGCTTCTTTTTGTATTTCAGGAGGTGATCCCTTGGGACAGTTTGCTATTGAAAATGTACAGAATGAATGGAAGGTCTATGTCAAAAAACCTTTGGACAGGGAAGAAAAGGATAGTTACCTTCTAAATATTACAGCTACCGATGGGACCTTTGCAACTAGAGCTGTGGTGGAGGTTAAAGTCCTTGATGCTAATGATAATAGCCCTGTTTGTGAAAAGGTAGGCACAGTCTTGTATCTTCGTGTCCAGCTGCTTCGATACATAAAATCTGAAATTCTTCTGAAATTGCTTTTCAGGAGACTGACAAATAGGTATTCCTTTTCTGTTGGTAACAGAAATTTGGACTATTAAAATTGAATACTGTCAAAGAAAAGTTACTTCATGGTCAGTTTTCTTAAATAAAAATGCAAATACAATTCATTGATGTATTTTTAACACTTAATGGGTATTTGAAGAGTATAAGGAGAGCTGTGGTACATTTCTCGTGTGTTAATGCATACTTTTCCAAAAGGAATTGTTTTAAGCTGCAGCCATAATAGTTTATATGCTCTATTTTCTGAAGGAAGCGAAGTCTCAAAGAAGGCTGAATACCATCTCTTAGTTGGGGTATTTGTGCATTTCGTGTGATAAAAGAGTTGAAAAGACTGGAATATTATTCTGCTGTTGCACTCAACAGCACCAAAAATCTGTAATCCATAAACATTTTCTTATTACAAAGCCATCTACCGTACCAGATTTGATAGTCTGCAAAAACAGACATGAAAAACAAAGAATGGGAAAAAAACCAAACCAAACCAAACAAAAAAAAAACCCCAACAAAACAAAAAAGAAAAACCCAGAAAGATGGGCTTGTGTAAGATGTTTAATTGCCTCATGAGAAAGCCCTGATTTTTCATAGTCAGCTTTTTGTTTTTTTACTTTAGCACATTTGGACTTTTCATAGCCATCTTGTTGAACACATATTTCATGTTAGCAGGTGGAAATCTTTTCTTGTTCTGGGAAGCATCAATTACACAGTGAACATTTGAGTCTTTCTGTTAGTTGATGTTTATGTTGGTTACTTCTATATAAACAACTGCAGTTATATAGACTAGTATGTCAGTAGTTTTAGACTTTTTCCTTTGTTAATGTTGGTGTTATAAGGCTCAGTCCTTCTTATCTAATGCAATTCCTTGACATGGATGAGCTGTAAGAGTGCAGTGTCTTTAAATTCTGGGTGGATTTTTTCTTAGTTTTTAATTAAACTGTGAACTTCTTATTCCTTGCCATTACAAAAACCAGCAGGTGTCAGTTCTTCTAGATTGAGTCAGACCTAGAAAAGATGATTTACCAAAAAAGAAAAAAATGAAGTTACCAAAAATTTCTAACTCTTGTTACAGGAATGCATTTAATTATCAGTTAATCAGTTACAAGTGTTTAGAGTTCTTAGCTATTCAGTGATACTCAAGAGTCCCTATGGTTGCAGTATTAATTACCTTTCTGAATAGCCTAACAAGTGTGAGCTAATTAATTAGAAAATCAGAAGTTCTTTTCATTTTCAGGTATTTCATCCTCATTTCATATGTTACCAGACACTCAAAGGGGATGTTATCTCATTTGTCTTTCCTTTGTCCTCATCCCTTTCCAAGCTCTACTTACTTCATATGTTTAGATTCAATGTAACTTTAAAATCTTGCAGGCTTTATACACTGACTCTGTTCCTGAAGATTCACTTCCTGGCAAACTGATAATGCAGGTATCTGCTACAGACGCAGATATTCGTTCCAATGCAGAAATTACTTACACACTGCATGGCACAGGAGCAGAAAAATTCAGACTCACTCCAGACACAGGTAACAATACTTTATACACTATGCAAAATTCCAATCATCACCTCATTTTATAAAATGTTTTACATTAAGACATACATAAATGTCAGTACTTCAAGCTTTCCAGTACGGGTTAGTTTATTATATAACTGTTTGAAATGTTTCTACTACACAAACGCTAATAATATATTGAGTAGGACTTGGGGAAAAAACGAGCATTTTAATATCCGAGGAACTAAAGAGTAAATGTGGTAATTGTTCTAAAGCCAGAAGCTTCCATGCTGAAGTGACTGGAGTCAATGTATGCTGTAAATTTTGTACTTTTTATAGTCATTGTGTATTCAGTATATATTCAGTAGTAGCAGTAATGGTTTATAATTGAAAATACCTTCATTCAGATTCTCTTTGCCAGCATTTGGTTTGGCATATTAAATGGGATGAGGTTAGATGGAACAACAAATTTCCGTTTTACACTAAATACCAAAAGCGCCTCCAGTTTTAAAAGCATTATATGAAGGAAAGTAACATTTAACTTGCCTGACTTTGGTTTTCAGGGCATTCCTGTTTTCTGGATTATAACATAGGTCAAAGCTACTGCCAAAATCCTGTGCTCTGCAGGCTGCAGTAGACAAGCAGTAGAAGGGAGTAGTAAACAGTATAAAAAAATGTAAATAAGAAAAATACAAAGATATAGTGGAAATATGGAGAAGGAAATGAGAATACTTCAGTGGTGAAAAAATGAGAAGGATCTTTCTTCGCTGTTGGTTGTTTTGGGTTTTTTTCACTTTGAATGTCACCTGTGTGCTGTGCTGACACGTTTAATAAATTCAGATTGGTGAAAGCATTTATGAGAATACCCATAAACAATATTTAAGGATACTTTTTTGAATCGTTTAAAAAGAGGCAATGGCTGCACACTGTGCCAGTCACCATCTTTTCTGTCACTCTGGAAAGTATTTGTTAGACCTCTAGAGGTTTGTCTGTGGCAGTAAGTTATATTTGTGTGAATAGTTCTGTTCATTTATTGAATGTTAGAGGAGGGGAGTCAGCTCAATAGCTGTGGAAGGAACACAACTAAATAACCCAGGAAAATCATATGTGGATTTTACCTTGAATTTTGTTAAAGCTGGAGTTCTAATATTTTAGTTCTCTTTACACAAAACCATATGGATTTCTGCATGTATACATATTCTCTCTCTTTCTGCACCATCAGGTAGTTTTACTATAGCTATTTCTGTTTCAGTGGCTTTTGGAAAAAGGCAGAGGATTTTAGTATTTAATCTTCAAAAGCTGAAAGAACAGGCCACTGACATGCCTTGCCCAAAGTGGAGCTCATTAGTGCAGTACAGCTGCTGACTTAGCCATTGATGAAATTACTATCAAAAAGAAAACTGTTTTTTAATTTTTTCTGAGTGCAAAGATTTTAGAGGATAACATGTTAGGATACTTAAGTCTTGCAACTTGCATCAGCTTATGTATGTTACTCTCTTTATAGGTGAACTGAAAACATTAATGCCACTTGATCGTGAGCAGCAAGCGGTTTATTATCTTCTAGTGAAAGCCACAGATGGAGGAGGAAGATTCTGCCAAGCTGATATTATTCTGACTCTGGAAGATGTGAATGATAACGCCCCAGAGTTCACAGCTGATCCTTACTCCATTACAGTATTTGAAAACACAGAGCCTAAAACCCTTTTGACAAGAGTCCAGGCAACAGATGCAGATGCAGGTATGCATTCTTTGATACTTTTGTCATGGTCTCAAAGTTATGGTAACGTTTATTTAGTCTTATCCTGAGAGGTGTTAAGTCTTTCAGTAGAACTGGCAAATGTTCAATACCTCTCAGGATTAGACTCCTGAAAGATATATTTAGGTCCACTAAATCATGTAACACCTGACTTCCATGTGCGAGGAGCTTGCATAGTAGTCCTTTTGTGTCTCTGCAAAAAAGAATAGGAGGGTAGGGTATGGTATTTGTAGGGTACTTTCAGTGTAATAACCTATTAATGTTAAAACAAGTTAGGTCCATCATTTTACTCCTAGTATAAGTAAAAGGAATATCAAGCCATGGCTGCTCATATAATGTGTGTTCATAAATTTTTGAATGGGTGCTTCTCAGGCTAGCTATCAATGATCATACCATAAAGACAACCCTAGTTGATTGTAGCTTTCTGTATATGCTTCCCTGTCAAGATTTTTGCTTTTTCTTTATCTTCTCTGTGTAGTTAGAAGTATTTTGAGTAAACATGAACTGAAAATAACATTAGAAAGAGTTTGTTCTCTAGGCTTTGGTGAAAGGAATAAAACCATGTAAGGCTTTTTTAAAGGTGTAGGATTTCCATTTATCATCATTTTATTAATCAAATAGTATTAATTAATTATTGCCCCCATCTCGTGAAACAACCAACCTGCTTTGTGCTATGATAAAGCTAGGTTGCTGAATTGGAAGGTATCAGACAGATGTTTTCACTGGTCTTTGAAGCTCAGGAAGAACAAAATACTTAGCTCAGAAACCTATGGGGTTTTAGTTTCTTTGACAGGCACAGGAAGGTTGCCAAAAATTGTTTTCTGTTAATTTAGGGACATGGTTCTTAAATAAACTTACTGGTATTGAGCCTAGTTATTTGATGCAGCCTAACTCGCCCATATCCTTCTGTGTTATTTATAAGCCTGCTAAGCAGATGCTGTTGTTCTTGAGTTATAATTAGATGTATATTACTAATCGTTTCATATTAGCTGGTACTGTGGCTGAAACAGAACCATGCTTCATGTTTTTTGTGTGGCAGAAAATCAGTGCAATGAAGCATTAGCTTATTTTTTTAAATCAGATTACATCTTTTTGGTAATCATTCTGCCCTTCACAAGAGCCTTTAACTCTCGCTGAAATTTACTTTAACATGAATGATAATATTTAGCATGCATGTTTTATTTCTATAACTATCAGATCTGTTATTATGTTGGTGTATTTTAATGGCTGCTTCATAGTCTGCAATTGTTTTCAAAATGCAGGGATGAACCGTAAAATCCATTATTCACTGATGAACTCTGCAGAGGGCCAGTTCTCTATCGATGAATTCTCTGGAATCATTCATTTGGAGAAGCCATTGGATCGTGAATTACAAGCTGTGTACACCCTAACTTTGAAGGCTACAGATGAAGGTTTACCTAGAAGACTGTCTTCAACAAGTAGTCTTATAGTTTCTGTTTTGGATATAAATGATAATCCGCCTGTATTTGAGCATAGGGAGTATAGTGCAAGTGTATCAGAGGATGTTTTGGTTGGAACTGAAGTTCTCCAGATCTATGCTGCAAGCAGGGACATTGAAGCCAATGCTGAAATCACATACTCAATAGTCAGTGGCAATGAACATGGAAAATTCAGCATCGATTCAGCAACAGGTAACAGATTACAACTGAATATACTTCAGGCTAACCAAGCAAAGTGCCATACTGTTTTACAGTAATTCAGCCAAATATGTATAATCTTTATGCTTTATCCGGGCTGTAAAGCCAGTGCTAGTGTCTGTTCACCCATTTTGTCAGCATGCTTATTAGAGGAATGCAGTAAAACGTAGAATAGGAACTTTGTTTGTTGCTGCTATTTGTTGTTATTTGGGTTAGATTCACCTAGCTGGCAAGAGTAAGGGTTTCCTAGCTGGAATATTCCCCACCTTGGGAGCAGAGGGGATGGAAAGACATAGTTCCATAATGATGGAAGCATAATAGTCTTTTCGCAAGAGCTCTATAATCAGAATGAGTGGCCAGACTTGGTAAAAGAAAGATCAGAAATTAAATTGATTGGGAAAACTAGTCATTGGTCAACAAAGACATTAATTCTAGAGGAGTTTGGTAAAGAGAGGTTGGCATATTCTATTCGGTCATATATTCAGCATGACAGTGGAGATTTTAGGCTTGCATGTTAATCAGATTTAGTCTCAGGAAGCATTTAGGTTCTGTGGAGAATTTTACCCTATTAATGACAATTGTTTGTTAAAAATCAATATACATCTAAACTCTGGTCTTGTTTTCTTCTCTGGCTCTTTTTCTAGAGTTAATTCCTGGTAAAGTTTGTTATTTTAAATAAGATTTCTACTGAAAGGTTAATAGTAGTTAACTACACTAGTGTAATTGAAATTATAATTCTTCCAGTTGCTTTTTACAGTATGCATGCTAGTACTATGCTATAGAAGTACTTTGCCACTTTAACTTCTTCACATATTTGAAAAAAGGAAAAAGGTTCCAAGAAAACAATTTTTGCAGCAGCAAATCAGCCTCTGTTTTAGAGACTGAACTGTCTTTAGCCAGTTAAAAGTTCACATTTTAATTCAGATATTTCCATTAATCAAAATTCATGATCAGACACTTCTACCTCTTCTTACTCCATGCCTGACATTAAATCCTGGTTGCAAGGAAAGTCAAATTAAAGGCCATTACCTATTTTTTGTTAATTTAAATTGAAAATCAAGAAAAGGAGATTTTTGAAATGCATTTTTTATTTTTCATTTGTTTCATTACAAAATGTAAGTCAGGTGGTTTTAAAGTGAGAGTCTTGTGTGGTAATAGCAGAAACTTCTCACCTTATTTTATGTGTAAAGCCTGATCATTTTACTGTATAACTCTAGCTTACAGTGACAAATCAAGCTGAGTATTTGTCAGAACAAAATCAAAGTCTGTAATATATAATACTATAGTAATAGCAGAGTTTGAGTGAAGTTTGCGTTTTTTTCTTTTCTTCCCTAGGAGCCATTTTTGTCATTGAGAGCTTGGATTATGAAAGTTCTCATGAGTACTACTTGACAGTGGAAGCCACAGATGGAGGCACACCTTCATTAAGTGATGTTGTAACAGTGAATATTAATGTAACAGATATCAATGACAATACTCCAGTGTTTAGCCAAGACACTTACACTGCAGTAATAAGTGAAGATGCTATGCTTGAACAATCAGTCATTACAGTATGTATTGTTGGTTTCTTTCTTTGAAATACTCTGTCATGGCAATCGTGCTGTCAGTCTTGAAGGAATTAATACTGATTTGAAGATGGACATAAATAGATAAGTTGCCACTGAGTAAATGGAAAATTTATTTTGGAAAAGTTTCAGAATGAGGGACTTGAGATGCTATGGGAAAGTAGTTGATATTTTGTGATATGTGTTCTCCTCATGAGAACATGACTTAATTTTCAGAAGAAATTCAGGAAATTGAATGATGTTGGTACATTCTATTTGCGTGACATTTCTCCGGAGAACTATGAAATATGTTAGACAAAACCAGCTGTGCTGATCTTCAGGATGAGTTTATCTGAAATGTGATAGAGTCTATTTCAACCTGTTTTAAATGAGACTGTAATATCCCTTAGGTTATGGCAGATGATGCCGATGGACCTTCAAACAACCGCATTCACTACGCAATTATAGATGGCAATCAGGGAAATCCTTTTACAATTGACCCCACAAGGGGTGAAATAAAAGTGACTAAACTTCTAGACAGAGAAAAGGTAAGTTTTTGACACTTTTTGAGTAGTTGCGTTTAGTTCAGCTGTATATAATTGATGACCAGTATATTTTTATTACATTTGTAAATCACCAATGTGAAAGCATCTATTTATGTCAGTGGTTTTTGGGAGCAGGGATGAAGAGAAAGGATTAAATATATGAAGGCAAGCTTTACTAGGGGTTTGCACTAAATTACTTCCTTAAAACCTGAGGTTTTTTTATTATTTTTTAGATCTCGGGATATACCTTGACAGTTCAAGCTTCAGATAACGGAAACCCACCAAGACTTAACACAACTGCAGTTAATATTGATGTTTCTGATGTAAATGACAATCCTCCAGTATTCTCAAAAGGAAACTATAGTGTTATCATCCAGGTGAGTAAAGAGAGAGTAGTCAAGTCATTAATATTGGAGTATTAATTTGTGACTTCAAGGTTTGATAAACCTAATGCTTCCATTTTATTCTTCTGTATTTTTATTTAAGATTGCCAGTGAGAGTGCTTACCTGAATAAGTGTTAAGGGTTACAAAATTCATAATGTACAGTCTATTTAGAAACTTACATTGCAAGTTGAGCATGTTCTTTTTTCATGTAGTGTGTGTGTGTACATGTATGTCTATTATAGGCTGCATTTATAACATGCTTAGCATCATACAGTAGGTTAAAATACATAATAATTTTGCTGTTTATTTTAAATCTTAGAGTTACTGCTTAGAAAAAGGTAGTTTAGGTACCTATTGAGGCAATTGAGACCATGTTTTTGATTTGTAAAGACAGCTTTCCAAATGAGGACAAGGTGATATATCTCTACCCAACATATATAGTGTATTCAAGTAAGATGTCCTGAATCTTACTGATTGGTTGGTTTGTTGAAAAAAACCAAACAACAAGAAACAGCAGATTTGTATGTTTGTGTGCTGTCAACAGTATTTTACTGTCCCCAATTACAGTCTTTCTTAAAGTGAATGTTAATTAAGGTAGCCCCTAAAACTGTAGGTTATATACCCAGTGTCTGTGATGTTTCCCTTACTCAATTAAAAAGGAAGACCTTGTGTTTTACAGTTCATTCGTATCAGCCTGTCCCAATATGAGCGTAGCAGAGAAAAAGCTGGAGGAGTTGCCCAAGAATGCTAGTGTGCATTTCCTTATGTATTGGAGATGGACATATTTGGACACAGTTGGAAATGTGCTTAGCTATTATGAAAATCAAATTACTTTAGATGTCCAAATGTAAACATTTGGGTTTTAAAGTGATGGTCCTTCTCTGTTTTACTGAAGGGCAAGTAAAGCTTCAGCTGCAATATCTGATAATTGAGTTACTCTCTCAGGAACAGAGTATGCTTGTTGTAGGAGCCTTCATAATAAGGCTTCTACTTTTTTTTGCATTTAAAATACATGTGTGTGTGTGTGTAAATTTAAAAAATCTGGTCAATACAGTATAGCCTGAATATTCTGGGAGAGGTGCTACAAGTTAATCTTATCCATTACAAGGTAAGGGGGGGTGGTTGTATCAAATACATGATGGACCAAGGTATATGAAGTGTCCATGAAACCTCAGGCACCCACATGATGCAAACATGAAGGGATTTTATGATGCAAATTTTAAAACCTGGGTTTCATATTTTAATTGGACTATGGCTGTAGCAGCCACAACTGTGGTCAGAACATTAATTAGGGACACAAGTGGTCAGGTGAGGGAGTGTATTTTCTCTAATCCTCCGAACAAAGGCATTGGATTATTCTTAACAGGTGTTTTAGCTATAATTTGAAGTCTTTGATGATTTGGTAATTAATCTAGAGGAATCTTAATTCAGACCGAAAGTGGAAAATGTAAAGTTTCAAGGCTGAGCTACTTTTAAAGATATCATAAGGTAAAGTTAAAAAAAACCCACAAAGTTTAAAAATGTACTGCCTTTATCCTTTTACTGTTTTCATCATTATTCTCCGAGGGTAATATTTTTCCTTAAACAATATTGTCGTTCTGATTTCTCTTATGCTGATTAACTGGTTTGACAGTAATTTGATATTCTTTTTTTTTTTTTCTGTTGTGAAAAAGAAGTCATCAGACAATATCCTCAATTATAACAAAACCAATGTAATTATATTATTCATTTATAGGAAAATAAGCCTGTTGGATTTAGTGTGCTGCAGCTAGTGGTGACAGACAAGGATTCTTCTCACAATGGCCCTCCATTTCTCTTTACCATCCTGAGTGGAAATGAAGAGAACACTTTTCAGATAACCCAGCAGGGAGTACTGACAACAGCTGCTGCACTGAATCGCAGAGTGAGAGATCACTATTTACTCCATGTTAAGGTAGGATGTTCTGTCTCTGGTCATTTTGCATTGTAAGTATTTAGTTAACTTTTCCCATGTATGCCCAGTTGACTGCTTCTTCCTGCCTACCCCTTGTCTTCCTTTTGCAAGATCCTGATGTGCCAAGTAGTCATTTGGTTCACATACCTTGAGGTAACATCTTCAGAGACAAAATCTGTTTGTTTAAATGGAAATCTTCACAGGTGTAACAGCTTAATTAAACTCACAGTAAGGGAAGGTATAAATGAATTGCTAATAGAGTGGGTCGCCTTGTTAAGCCCTCTGCCTTTCATTCGGGATGCTGGAAAAGCCAGCAGGGGACAGGTCCCTTGAGCCATCTACTCTTGGCTGCAGACTTCCTCTGGCCACTATTGCTTTGACCCTTGAAGATGTGAGCTGGACTATGCTGATACGATGGAAACAGGTGTGTTGCACATCATGGCAATACTGAAATTTTTTTCCATAATGACACATTCTTTTCCCAATAGCAACTGAAAACATCTTTTTTTTAAAGAATAATTATGGAAAAACAGGTCATCGGACCTTTATCATAGCATTGAAACTTGCAGCACTACTTGGAGATCTCGGAATCTTGCAGTGGGAAGCATGACATGAAACTCAAAAATTACCCTGAAATGCTGTAGTATTTGCCTACATTTGCCATTGTATTGCAAAAAGACCGGCCCATGTCCAAAAATCTAGGTTACCTAAACATAGCTAAGTTCTCTAAAATACTTTTTTGTAACCTTATGTTAGAAAAGTTCAAACCAATTTTTGTAATCCTATCCAGTCCTTTTTAATACAGTTATAAATTAAGCAGCTGTGAACAGGGGACTTAAAATTGCTAGGCTAAAAATAGCTGGCCTTAATTCTTTAACTTCATTTCTAGATTCATGTGTTAAGAAAAATCTTTACCTTTACTTTTACCCAAGGAATTTATTTCAATCTCCAAATCACTCTCAGACGAAACATTGCAGATAATTTCTGAGTAAGCATACACTTGCAGAGATCTAGAGCAGTACTGTCTGCATCAGTGTATACTGAACTGTGTCCATGTTTGGATAATAATCATGTGTTCAGACAAAGTCTATCTCGTTTTTTCAGGAAAGGAAAGAAGCTTCCTACAGGTACTGTTGTTTTTGCTGTGTGAGTCACTAAAACATGTTATTAGGAGCTCAGAGCGTCATATAGGCAGTATAAGAATCATCACAGATAAAGGTTCCATTTAAATGTAGTTTAGTTTAAGGTTAAAGAATTGAGATGATTAAAAACAGGGCAGGGAAGTGTATCATTCCTTTATTAGCCATTTTTTTCTCAATAGTGATCTGCTAATTAGTGGTGGGACAGATTACCCTTCAGGGTACTTAGGTGATGGATCTGTTGTCCTTCCTAGGCTGCATGAGTCCAGAACAGCAGAAGAACCAGCTACTTGCCAAATATGCTTTCCAAGTTCTGTACCAATTCTCCAAACTAAGGTTTTTGTTTAGGGAAGAAAAAACGGCAGTGTTTTTCCTGTATGTGCTATCAGTGAAATATAAGATTCATATGCTTTATTTTACATTTCTTTAAGCAGTAATTTCTATTTATTTTGCTTCTAAAATGTATTCCTGTGAATGCATGCCCAGGCAATTATGTCTGTTCTATGTAAAATACACTGTCTTTCTCACATTTCATTACTTAGCTGCACCTTTGGCCCTTCCTAATGCAACTGCCTTTTCTTAAGCATGAGGCACCTATCTAACACCTTCCTCTAGGTAGAATCATGCAATTCTTTTATTTCCAAGCTACTTCCTAGGCTGTAGGATGCTTGTAAACAGCCTGTCAGTACTTCAGCTATCTTCTCTTTAGCACAGCACTTGAAATGTACCTTTTTTTCTAGAGAATGAATAAGGGCTATTTTAATGGCATCCAGTATCTAAACAAGCGTCTTATAACAAATGTACTTATTTAGAACAAAGGCTTCTCAGAGTCTGTAAATCATTAAAATGGACTATACTAACGTCTGGGGTTTGTGTGCTGTACTACTCAGTATTTTGGAACTCTTTAATCCTTTGATTTACAAGTTCCCTGCCTACCTGAATTCTGGAAATATGTCACAGTCTTTTAATTGCTATTTGTCGTGTTATAGTATGATAGCTTTTTTAAATAGACACACTGCTATAATTTGCTGTTATCTTCTCCTTCGTGAGTCAGTATACATGAGGATGAAGGCATCCAAGACTAATACTAGCCTTTCCATAACACATGACTTCAGCTCTAATAATACACACAAAAACAGATATATTACTTCTTTGGAAAAACATTCTTCTGCTCTTTCTTTAAAAGAAAAATTTTTGAAAGGCTGTAGGAAGGCATCTTCTCAAATTTACACTTTCCACACTTTCATTTTGCAGCTCATAAGTTAATGGCTGTGTATCATGTCTCCATACTTGTTTTTGTTTTTTATCTGACCTTCACTGATGTGCTTTTCAGTATTGACAGCTTTCACCTTAGTTGCTTTCTGAATGGATTGCTGAGGCAGAACTCTTCTTATGTTACAGGCATACCTTCATTAGGAAAACCAAAAACTCTGAACAAAACCCCACACATAATCCCTCCTCTACACTCCCCACACACTCACTACCACCAAAAAACTTAACACAAGCCTTTCTTTACTTTTGTGGGTTTAATAGAAACCCCAACAGCCACTTTTCGTGTGCATGCTTCTCACATTTGCTTTCCCTCTCTCCAAAGGAAATAGATTATCCATTAACAAATGTCTCACAGCATTAGTGTGTGAAATCTTCAGCTATGAGTCATACAGTCCTTTATGTCACACTCTGAAGTCTTTAGTTTAAAACCACAGCAGATTGTTAAATATCTCCACTATTGAAAAATCATTTCTCCTGGGGCTCCTCTTTCCTACTTGCTGTCCATTTGTTTTAATTTTGCTTGCCCATTTTTTTGAACCCTTTCTGGTTTCCCTTGGGCATTTCTCCTGTAGCTAAACTGCCTGCCTTGTCTTGTTTCCAGGCAGAATTCTAGGCAAAACAAAACTTTGCCAACTTGAGCTGGAGCACTCTCTCTTGTTATTTATGTTTGGGTAACTAGAGGGCAAGTTTCTAGCCATGCCTGTCTTTTGGAATTAATGGATGAAGACAAGCATTTCTATGAGACATGCGTTACCTTTTAAAAATGCTGTTATTATGTGCACAACCACAGATAAGCTTGTGCCTGGAGTTTTAACTCTTTTGCTTAAATTTGTATGAAAAGTCACAAGTAGCTTCTCTGCATAAATCTTCAAAGTGTATCAACTACCTGTAGTAATTGTAAAATTATTGTAAAACATTTTGAACCATGCAGGATACTTTCTGAACTCTGTATACCCCCTCTGTCCCTTCAGACCTCTCAAATTCTTTGCCCCTTTCTTTAGTCTCACTTTCAGTAACTGGGAAAGAGCTCTGGGGAAAAGGCAAATGGGAAGCAAGAACTGAGAATAGAAAGAAAGAAGTCAACCCAAGGGAATGCTCTTTTCTCACTTTCCTTCTCTTTTTTTTTTTTTTGGTCCCTTCTTTACATGACAACATTGTATGCTTTTGTAAAACAGGAGTGGAGGACAGGGGACATGGCGTTTAAACAGGCTTTAAAATTGAATTAGGCTGATCCTGTTAAAGATGATTATTTTAATTGTCTGAAGCAAGTACCACTACAGGTGGAGTCTTTTCCCCTCTCCATTATCATAAATAATGAAAGACAACATAATTATTTGTAACTCTCTACATGTATTGCTTTCTTTTTGAAGTACTGCTTGGCATACTGCATTTAGAATGTCTTCAAGACCATCTCCTAATAACTGCGGTGAAGCATGTTGTAAATTTCTAATGCATGACTCATTTTGAGTTTGTAATGAGTTTCCACGCTTGAAATAAAAAAGCTTCAAGCACCATCTGCTGTCTGAAATTAGCTACTGTGCATTTCCTCTGAATTTGCTAGAAGTGTTAGTGGCTTCCTGGTATTTCCAGATATTAAGAGCACTGTAGCCTTTTAATCTTGGAAGACATAAAAACATGTTTGCATGAGCCTACTTATATAAGCTTTTTAAATTTTCAGGATTTACAGTTATGTCAGGAGCTGTGATGTGAAATCCACATAAAGCATATTCTTGTAGTGACCTTTTTCTTTTTTTTTTTGGTAGAAAAATACAACTGTACTGTCTACAGTACAAAAAACTAACTCTATCCTTATCTTCCTTTAGGTGGCAGATAATGGAAAACCACCGTTGTCATCTTTGACCTACATTGATATTAGAGTTATTGAGGAAAGCATTTATTCTCCAGCAATTCTGCCTCTAGAAATCTTTATCACAGCCTTTGGAGAAGAATATTCGGGTGGTGTTATTGGAAAAATTCATGCAACTGATCAAGATGTTTATGATACTCTGACATACAGTCTGGACCCCAAAATGGAATCCTTGTTCTCCGTTTCCAGTACCGGTGGCAAACTAATAGCACATAAAAGCTTAGACATAGGACAGTACCTCCTAAATGTCACTGTTACAGATGGAAAATTTACAACTGCAGCTGATATTACTGTGCACATCAGACAAATCACACAAGATTTACTAAATCACAGCATTGCAATACGCTTTGCAAACCTTGCCCCTGAAGAGTTCATTGGTGATTACTGGCGCAATTTCCAGAGAGCGTTAAGAAACATCTTGGGTGTGAGGAGAAATGATATCCAGATTGTTAGTTTGCAGCCCTCTGATCCTCCTTCAAATCTTGATGTCCTCCTGAATATTGAAAAGTCTGGTAGCTCTCAGCATCCAATGAGAATTTTACTCCACAAGATAAACTCTTCTGTGCCTGACCTAGAGGAGATTTTGGGTGTCCGGATAATTGATGTTTTCCATAAGCTTTGTGCAGGCCTAGACTGTCCTTTGAAATTTTGTGAAGAAAAGGTAACAGTGGATGAGAACATCATGTCAACCCACAGCACAGCCAGGTTGAGTTTTGTCACTCCCCGTCATCACAGAACAGCAGTTTGTCTTTGTAAAGGTAAGAAAAGCAGTAAGGAAAACAGTATTCTTGAAAAGACTGTTCTGGTTTTGAACAGCCATAATCCACAGGGGAAAATTTATATTACAGGACAAGAATAAGAATGTCCTGAACCCTCACTGCAGTATTTGCCTAATTTTATTCAGAGTAGGGAGTAATTCTTTCATGTCTCATTACCTCATTTTAAGAGTTTACATAATAAAAGCTTATGGGAGGGTTGTTTTCTTATAGCTGCAACTTCGTTTTCCATTTTATGAAGGAAGTTCCCTTTTTTGTTGCCTGTTACAAATTGCCAGTCATTTTCAGTCTTGTATGCACAAAGGTAAGTTCTTGCAAAGTACCTGAATACTTCTGGTTTCTGCTTAGAGGATTAGCCCACACAGCTTCCAAACTTGGCTGGGAATGGCAGGGTGAACTGGGAAATAAATATTCATTAAGATACATATAAATATACAGATTTATAATAGGAGATTAATTTGTCTTTAGCTCCAAGGAAAACATTTCTTTTTAAAATTATGCCTTTAAAATCATGTTGATAGGTGAATTTGCACATCGTAAGTAAATATTTAAAGCCTCTTCCTTTTCTGTCTGAAATACGGACACTCTCTTCTCCTGCTCTCAGTAGCCCACTCTGTCCATGTTTAATACCTACATGTTGGTTTTTTATGGTGTATGATAGTAAATGGTAAACTTTAAACCACACCACCATTTGCCAAATTTGGGAATTGAATTGAGTAATTATATATGCCATTCGTTTCATCTGTGTTTGTGCCAGTCATGTCCCATAACTGTTACTTCTTTGTCTGATAGGAGTATCATTTAGGTTACTTTCAGCTACTACACGTAAGTGTCCCTTTTCACAAAATACCGTTACCACCAACAGAAGAGAAATAATGTGTTTTGTTTTACAGAAGGAAAATGCCCCTTGGTGAATAGTGTGTGTGAAGAAAATCCATGCCCTGAAGGTACTGAATGTTTAGGAGATCCAGAGGAAGGAAGATACACTTGTGTTTGCCAAGACAGCAAACTTGGACAGTGTCCTGGTAAGAAATTAAAAATCTCTACAGAAAAAGGTATTACTTTCCAAACATAAATTTGATTCCAGTCCTGTGTTAAAACATTTTATGCTTTTTTGTATTCCTAAGCATCAGCCGGCTCTGCTGTGACATTTACTGGGAGCAGCTATGTGAAATACCGTCTCATGGAAAATGAGAACAAAGAGGAAATGAAACTGACGATGAGACTTAGGACTTACTCTGCTCATGCGGTTGTTATGTATGCTCGAGGAACAGACTACAGTATCTTAGAGGTATATTAAAATCTTTTAATGCATCTCCTCTTTTCTTCTTACCATGTTCTTACTATGTTTTGTGCCAAATTAAAAGGTAGAATCATAATATCTCTGTAGAATTGTTAAAATGGAGAATTGCCTTCAAGGTAGAGTGTGTTATACATCCAGGTGACAAACTTGTACAGAATTTTTATAACGTGTAAAAGGAATTAGTTTTCTTTAGTGTTTTTTAAATAAAACAAAACAAAACCCACCCCGAATTAGCTACAATTTTATATTTATTTGCTTATAATACTCATTAAGTCCATAAAGAAAAAGTCACTTAAAACACAAGATGAAAGTTCTTGAGGTATTGTAATCTTTTGATGATGATCTGAGACTTCATTACTAGAGGAAAATTGTACAAAGTATATATTTTAAAGAACCGTGTGGAATGAATCACAGTCACTGTGACTGTTTAGAATACAATGTTACTACACAGCCTTCTATGAACACCACCATCATCCTGTCTCTCCAGCAAACAAACTTCTATAGGCATCAATATTTTATACTCTTTAAGCATGCAGACCATTTGTTGATGTTGTGGTTTTCCTCTGTAGATTCACCATGGAAGGCTGCAATACAAATTTGATTGTGGCAGTGGACCTGGGATTGTCTCTGTTCAGAGCATTCAGATAAACGATGGCCAGTGGCATTCAGTATCTCTTGAAGTGGATGGAAATTACGCACGACTTGTTCTGGATAGGGTGCATACTGCTTCTGGTACTGCTCCTGGTACACTTAGGACACTAAACCTAGATAATCACGTGTTTTTTGGTGGTCATATTCGGCAGCAAGGTACAAGACATGGTAGAAGCCCTCAGGTTAGCAATGGATTCAGAGGCTGTATGGATTCTGTTGTACTTAATGGACAAGAGCTGCCCCTGCACAGTAAACCACGAAATTATGCACACATGGAAGAATCTGTAGATGTGACTCCTGGATGCTTACTGACTACCACAGAAGGTTGTTCAAGCAATCCATGTCAGAATGGAGGCATCTGCAATGCACTGTCAAATGGAGGTAAACTGTGCTCTGTTCTTCTGCTGTTGTCTTTCAAAACTGCTTTTCCACTTTACTGCATTGAAGGACAAAATGACTTTGTGAATAATTCTTGCTTTCCCAGGGAGTTGTGGAACAAATTGTTCCACAGGTAGGATTGTTGCGCGGGTAGGAAAGATGTGTCTGCCTGTGTTCTAGACTCAATCCCTTGGGGTATGAAGTAGGCTTAAGTCCATCAGGCAAAGTGGGGATTAACTTCAGTATCAACACCTGTGGTCAGTCCTCTTAACTGCCTACTTTAGAGTCTTCCTTCAAAAATTCTGAATTCAGTGACAAGCTTGAGTTTTGTGAGGGAATGGAAGTTATCCTTCAGCCATATTCAAAAAGAAACTTACTGTTAGACTTTCTTTTGTCTTTTGATAAAAATATTTCTATTTCTTCCCATCCTCTCTCTGTCTGAACAATGGGCAGAGAGGATTTTATCTTAAATCCTGCAAAGCCACGTGTGTCTTTCAAAAAAACTGTATTTGATTTCAGGTTACTACTGCAAGTGTGCACCTTTGTTTATGGGAACTCACTGTGATGTAAGTGTCAACCCATGTGCTTCCAACCCCTGCCTTTATGGTGGTACTTGCATCCCGGTCAGTGATGATTTTATCTGCCAGTGCCGAGGACAATATACAGGGCAAAGGTACGTTTGTATGGTTTATTGTACCAATGATCCCTTTAGAGAATAAGCTATAAATGTAACGCTTCTTCTGCTTTCTTGTTTATCTGTTTTCTTCTTAAAGTTCAGATTTGAAATCCACTGGAGTTAGTTGAAGTTAACGCCAGGCCTTATGTCCCACATAGCCCTGAATCCCACACTATATACTCACTTGCAGTAAGGTAATGGTTTGGGTTTTTATTACCTTTGCAGGTGTCAGCTGGGTCCGTACTGCAAAGACAATCCTTGTAAAAACAGTGGCAAGTGTATTGACAGTTTGGATGGACCTGTTTGTGAGTGTGAAGTAGGCTTCCGTGGAGAAAGGTAGGTAGTGTTCCACATATATGGAATTTTTAACAGTATTACTTAACAGTTAACAGTTCAGACTGGTTGAAATCTGGAATGCTGATAAAACAGCAGATTGCCCAGTAGTGTATAGTACTGTATATTAAATATGTTGAGCATAGGGAGACTAGAACAAAGACTACCGATGTAAACTAACCATCATTGCTCTGCTCTTTCTCTGGTAGGTGCCTGACTGATGTCGATGAATGTGTAGAAAACCCATGTCTTAATGGTGCCCTTTGTGAGAATACTTACGGTTCATATCACTGCAACTGTAGTCATGGATTTGGAGGAAAACACTGCACAGACATTGTTCTTAACAAATATGTTTCAACATCTTGGAATATTAGCTTATCTGAAGTGATTGGGATTATTGTTTTCATCGCAGGAATATTTTTGTTAGTTGTCATTTTTGTTGTTTGCCGCAAAGTGATTAGTAGAAAGAAGAAGCATCAGCCAGAACCCGAAGACAAGCAGCTGGGAGCTACAACAGCTTTCTTGCAAAGACCTTATTTTGATGCAAAATTGAATAAGAACATCTATTCTGACATCCCACCACAAGTTCCTGTTCGTCCCATTTCTTACACTCCAAGCATTCCAAGTGACTCCAGGAACAATCTTGACAGGAATTCTTTTGAAGGGTCTGCTATCCCTGAGCACCCAGAGTTTAGTACTTTTAACCCAGATTCTGTACATGGGCATCGGAAAGCTGTAGCTGTTTGCAGTGTAGCACCAAATTTACCACCTCCACCTCCCTCTAACTCTCCTTCAGACAGCGATTCAATACAGAAACCCAGCTGGGATTTTGACTATGACAGTAAGAAGTATTCTTATTTTATTACTTTTTCTATTAAAGGTGTGTGCTGCTACAATTTTATTTTGAGAGCAAAGTCTTTGTCTATGCCTGTCAGGTTACAGAATGCATTATGACTTTACTGGGGTTTGAGTCTGATCGGGCTTCGTGCTCTATTAAGTTTTGTAAAAATGCGTAGATCTCAGCCTTAAATTTTATTGACTCTAATCTAGAATCGAATAATCATCTCACCACTTTTTCTTTCAGCTAAAGTAGTAGATCTTGACCCCTGCCTTTCAAAAAAGCCTCTGGATGAAAAGAACTCCCACCCTTACAGTGCTAGAGAAAGCATGTCTGAGGTCCAGTCTCTCAGCTCCTTTCAGTCTGAATCATGTGATGACAACGGTAAGTAAAATACAGTCTTGCCCCTTAGGTTCCTTTGTTCTGTCTTTGCATCTCTTAGTCTCAATAGGACTTACATATATCCAATATATATTAAATAATAGCTTATTTAATATATATGTGTATTTACTTGTGTTAATACCCCAATATGTTAATTTTTTTAAGTATTTTGCCTGTATTGTACCTCGTGTTAATTACTTTACCTTAAAATTCTGTGTGATTGTTCTGCTATTAGAATATTAGCAGTGAAAACAGCACCAGGTGTTCAGAGCCTTGTGTTTAAAAGGTGTTAAAAGTGTGTTCAAATTTGAGAGACTTTTCTAGGTAATCATTAGTTATCACCTGATAGAAGAATACAGTGAATTGTAAATATGGCCTCTGCACAAATATAACTCGCTTTGACGTTCAGCTCTCAGTAAAAACCTTTGTGGTGTTACAGTTTCATTTGTTTCCTTCTCTTTTTCTTGCTGCGACCTCAGCTCCCATATGGATCAGATCAGTTCTGAGTGAGAGCAGAGTTTAAGGGACTGCTTGTAAGTTTGATTACTTTAGTAATGAAGGAAGCTGCACAAAAAGGATTTTGTTATAGTAGAACAGTATATTTGGCTTTCACCATGATTAAAATTAATTCATAAAAAAATTCATACATTGAAAAAAGCCAATATAAAAATATACTTTGATCACAAATCCAGTCCATCAAAATATAATCATCATATATATATTGGGGTTTTATTGTTATGAATTGGAAGTCTTTTACATTTCCATTGTGATGACAGACACTTTTACAGTTGCTATGAATGCATCTATGCATTCAGAAACATTTCAGACTGATTGGACAAAGCCACAGTTGCCTCATAATTTAATTCATTATGTTAAGGTGTTTTGACTCCCTATTCCAATTTCTGCTCGTCTCTGTATGGTAAAAAGAATTTGAAATTGCTTTAGCTTAGGAATAAAAAACATTCTGCTTCTCAATGAAGTAGAGTGATTTGTTCTTAACAGCATGAAAAGAAACATATGTGTTAATGATTGGTGAAAGTAAAATGGTATGCTTACAGTACTCATCATTCTACCCGTAGACCTGATACCAACTTTCAACTTTTTTCCTGTGGTATAGTGTTGTGCAGTACATGTGGTTTTCCCCTCCTCTCCCTCCCATATATTTCATATATTCTCTACTCACATTTCTTGTCATGTATTGTTTACTCATTAATACATTTTAAGAGAAATAGCTGTAGCATCATAGATATTGTTCCTTCCTTTTTGGTAGATTCTGAATTTATTAGTTTGAAATCTGATCCCCAAGTCATGCAAACAAATTGCACATGCTTATCCCATCTTACCCTATATAAAAGTAAATCCTTCTCCCTTCCAAAAGTATCTTGGGAAAGGGAAGACATAAAAAATGCATTCATTTCAGCTGGCTTTAAATAAGAATGTCACAACGTGAATTTGGTATTCCTACAGTGATACCACTGTTCACACACAACTTACGTAGGTCAGCAACAGAAGTTTTCAGTAGATATTTTTCATATTCTAGCATTTTAGTCATTTCAGTGAAAATTTCTTCCCGTGGTCTTACATTGGAGTAGGGGAGTAGTTTTCAGTCTAAAAGGGAAGCCTAATGCAATACTCCATAATTCATGCAACACAAGCCTTTAGAAGAGCTTTAGTTCATTGCTGTTAGATGAAGTATTATGCAAATGTTATGTTTAGGCAAGTTTCAGAAATCCTGAGTCAACTAAAGCAGCTTTGTGCTCATGCAGAATTTGCTTCAGGAGTAGTTACAAGTACTTTTCCATGTTTATCAAGAATAAAATTCAGGTTTAGAGATGTATTTTATATATTATATGCAACTGCTCTTTAGATAAGAGGGTAAATGTATATGTACACCAATAATCTTGCTCTATAAAATAGTAATGAACTGCAATTTTAAGGTGGTTTTTGTATATCTGTATGCTTTTTAAAGTGATACTAACTATAGGTTTGTTTTAATTTGCTCCTTTTATACCTTTTACAAGCTTCCGTAGTGACTGTAATACACCTTGTCAATGCTGTTGTTGACTCGGTGGAAAACGAAGGTATATACATGCTTTTCATATTTATTTACAGCTTTGTAGAATAATGCACATTTGTCTTCTAGTTAATGTAGTCCTAGCAGATGGGAGTTGTAAAATATTATTTACTTGGACTTTCTGATAAGTTTTATATAAGAATATGTTTATATTGTATATCTGTTAGTATTTTCATGTATATGCTGTAGCTACCATGTAGACAGGTTTTACAGTGTGATCTCTTGAGATTAAAAAAGTACTGCTATAAAAAGATCTTGGTACTTACTCTCTTCTGAAAATGTTCACACTAAAGCTCCCAGCAGAACTGAGACAGCATCAAAGGCACTTACATACACTACTGTAGATGAAAAAGCAGCAGCCCTGCTTCCTTTTCTTCACCCACCCACATCTGTTGGCACCTTATCCAGCTGAGCAGAATGGGAGTAGTCCAATGACAGTGTTCACTTCCCTTTTTTCTCATACGATCTTGAGGTATATAGGCATACACACATCCCTATCAGTGTTATTAGTTACTTCCTACCCAGCCTTTAATCAGTATCTAAAAGGTATGTTTGAGTGTATACATGTACACACGTGTATACTTGTGTGTGTAGTATGTCTTTGGAAGCTGATGAGAAGAAGTTGAAAGAGATGAAGTAGACATTTTTGGTGGAATTTTATTTCTTCCTTGCTAACATTTAAGAAGTGACCACTCTGGAAAATATAACTCTTTACAAAATAATAGCAGTAATAAAGGTGCCAGTGAGTCTATACAAATGCTAACTATTGTTTTAGTTAACTTAAAAATCCCTAAAGTTCCAGTAATATGCAAGTAATTCACAACCATGAGGCTGCAGAGGTTACTTCTGAAATACCATCCACAGTGTGTTTCCTGTTTGTTGAGAAAAACCCTGCTTTTTTTATTAAGTCCTACTTAAAGCCGTTTTAAGAACGTAAAATTGTAGTAGCTAAAGATTCTCTTTGGTTTATTATTTGAAGTACATCCTGTCTAAAGTATGCAGACATATACATTATCTCCAGTGTATGTCTACATTTTGTCTACAAAAAAGTAGACAAATGCAAAGACATAACAGTATTTAATTGATATATATAGACCAGAGTCCTCAGTGCTAAAAAATTGTAATGCATAGTCCTTACAAAAGGGAGAATTAGAAGACTAGAAGAGGCAAGATTTATAAGGGGAAATATTTAATCACTCAGATTTTCTCTGAGATTTTGACTGGTAGAAACTAAAAATGATGGATGTAGTTCTCAAGTCAAAGTTGAAAGTATTGCTTGGTGGTTTAGTATCACTGTAAGATAAATACAGTTATTTTATGCATCGCAGAATATTTGTAGAGAAATTGAAGATGTTCTGCTTAGCTACTTCTTAACACTTGGAAGTTTCTACTCTTAATAAGCATTCCTTCTTTCAAAGTGTCTTGGGTAGAGTTCTGCTTTTGAGAACCCTCGGGAGGGTACCAGTTTGAGTAGCAGAGATCCTTGCTCAAGCCTTCAGCAGGGTCACATTCTGGGACAGATGGTCTTTTCCTTTAGTCTTCCCACGTGGTTCTGTCCAAGAGGTATCCTGGAAGCATGAACTGCAGTCTCATCCTAGGACAGTTGCAGGTCTTCATTCTCTGCACTGCTACTCAGGGAAGGTTGTAGCTCCGTGCAGATTGATAATGTTGAGTGCAAGACTAGCAGATCTTCACCTAGAAAGATGATCATCAGGTTCCATTCCTTGATAAAAGTGTGCTAAATTGCAAGACCACAGTCTGCCTATTGGCTTTAGTTTTGCACCCAGTTTCCTTAGAAAAATGAAGAATGTCATCTTCTAAGTAGATGTAGTGGTCAGAACCTTCTCCTGGAGATAATGGCAGAGATGTCTTAAGAGTCTTAGATCTTGGACTAATGTCTCCTTTAGCGTGGACAGTATTTTCTTGTCTGGGCTAGGCAAGCTTGAAAGGGAAACGACAAAGGAAAAATGAAAAAGGAACCTCCCCCAGGAGTAAATCTCTGTCCTTCCAGTCTTCCAAGAATAGATAAAAGTATCAGTTCTTAGGAGAAGATTCTGGCATTAGGATAGGCATCACCCATCATTACAGACCTGAGTAAGGAATATAGATTCCTGAAGAGAAAGAGATCTAAGTTTTGTCAGATAACACTGGACAGTTCTCTGCTGAGTGTGAGTTGCGGGGATTGCTGTACTAAGGGTGGCAAGTCTCCCAGTGCACAGCATATATAAGCTAGATACTATAGGAAGCATTCCCATCTTTGCATGAAATACTGGAAAGTGTACATCCTAATAGATGCAGCCCTGTATCAAAAAACAAAGGGGGATACAAGGAAAGAAAAAAGTTAGCTTGAGCCTTGTTATCCTTTTTAGCAGAAGTCCTAAATTTAGTGAAAAGAGGATTTCTGCAAACTGTCGACTGCAGATTTTGCCATTACACAGCCATGTCCCAGGTGGGCTGTACATAAACTCAGTAGCTATTTTACAGTTCAAGTCTAACAAAGGAGGATCCCGGGAGTAAAACAAAAAAAACCAAAACCAAACTACTTTAGTACTGTTAAGTAAACTAGACAAAAGCAAACCAGCATGAACATCCTTGTTTGTCTTCACATTGGTTCTACTATGTGGTTCCTAACTACAGATGTTTTCTCCTTTTTCTTCTCATTCTGCCACCTAAAGAATCTTTTGCTGTTCCTGACCTCAGCAATTCAAGAGGTGACTTCTGCATGCAGTTTGTTGATGTTCACCAAAATATTTCTGTTAATACTTGGTTTTAACACAGACTTACTATCAGTTGCTTGCTGTGCATCTGTCTGCAGTGATTATTCTTTACTAGATTTGCACCTTCTTACAATTCTGTAGTATTTCCCTTTTTGGTGTTCAGATGAGAGGAAAAAAATATTTTTTTAATGAGATTAAGCTTATATCTAGTTTCCAGCAGATGAATACAAACTTATTTAAGAGGAGTTTGTGAGAGAGGATCACTTTCAGTCATTTATGCATGATTAAGCTTAATTTTCCTGTTTTGTTCTTGTATTTGAATGTGGAATGTCTTTACTAATAGTCAAGGGTTTTTATCACAGGTGTGTGGCAGTTAAGGTAGAGCTAACAGCATTTTGTGAAGTTATCTTTACAATTCAGTTAAGGGGTAAAGTTGCTTTAAATGGTCTGGATACTTTACCAATTAAAAATTTCTTTTATGCAAGAAAAACATGGTTTCTATGCGCTAAATATATTTTTAAGAAAAACACATAGCTGTTATCACCCTAACTGTAATTACCCAACAACAATCGATTAAGAATTTAGCTGCACCAGGGAGGCTGTTGGTTCTTTGCTATCTGGTGAACAGTTCTATGCTATATATTGTAATAGCACATTCCATAGGTGACCTACAGCTCTTCCCACATTAGCTGAGATGTCAAAATGTAAAAATTCAAGTGTGAATGACGCAATATCTAATGCATGGCATAGTGTAAAGTTGTGTTGTGTTGAATGTCTTTTGTGGAACCAGGACAAACTGCTCTCTGATTAACAAGTACTGTCCTAACCACGGTAACTGCATTGTCTTAATACATGTATTGACTTCTCAGTTCAGACTGACTTGAAGACAAGATACTAATACTACTTCTTTTTTAAAAAAATTACCTTTTCAGGTTATCACTGGGATACATCAGACTGGATGCCAAGCGTTCAGTTGCCAGGTATCCAAGAGTATCCAAATTATGAAGTGGTTGAAGAGTCAGCTCCCCTTTACAATGATCCAAATGCCATCGATACAGACTATTACCCTGGCGGTTATGACATAGAAAGTGATTTTCCACCTCCACCTGATGACTTCCCTGCACCTGATGAGCTTCCACCATTACCACCAGAATACAGCGACCAATTTGAGTCAATACAGCCACCCAGAGACATGCCAGCCATAGGTAGCTTGGGTTCTTCTGCAAGAAGCAGGCAGAGATTTAACCTTAATCAGTACCTTCCCCATCACTATCCTGCAGACATGTCAGAACCTCAGACCACAACCAGTGGTGTCAGCGGCAGTTACAGAGACCCTTATGCTCCTTACACGTTAGGGTACAATAGAGACTTTGAAGCACCAACTGTAGACAACATGTCCACGTCCGTGTATGCTTCTACAGCTTCATGCTCCGATGTGTCAGCATGCTGTGAAATGGAGTCAGAAGTCATGATGAGTGACTATGAGAGTGGAGATGATGGTCATTTTGAAGATGTGAAGATTCCTCCGCTTGATTCCCAGCAACATACAGAAGTCTGATACACTCAACAAAAGTGCCTGGACTCTAACAAACTTTATCAATTCTAGAATAACTTTCAAGAGCTTTTTTATTTTTTTTTTCTTTTTCCCAGCCACAGGGAATGCTTTCGTTTCAGTGAGCTAAACTGGCATGGCAGCCGTGGATCATGCAGTTCATTTCACTAAATCAGCCTGTTCCATTTCCTGACCTGTAACTGGACAGTTCCAAGATTTCCATTGGCTGTGCCATTTCTCAATGTCCTTTTTGTACTTACATTGTCTATGTTAAGAAAGTCACATACCACTTCTCCATGTTAGCATGACGCATATATTTATATAGCTCTAATGCAATTAATTTTCTCCTACTTTTTGTAAATTTTATGTACAGTTTTGATTTTAATAGTTTTAACTAGATTTTGTAGATATTTTGTGAATGTTTTCCACTGAAACTAGTGGTGTTAGTGTGCCATTAAAAACTAGCACCCTGACTTATTATAATCAGGGCTTCAATGTATGTATTCCTCAAAAAACTAAGGTTTCACATTTCATTATTTAAAAAAAATCAACATATTCACACAATTCCAACTGTACATAGGTTAGGTCTGATATTCTTCTGGGTCAGCTACATGGAAATGTCTTAGATGGGTTGCTGTATTTTAGAACTGTAAACAATTTTCCCCTTCTTGGAAAGCGTTTTGGGGGCCCTCTACATACCAGTTTAGAACCAAAACCACCATGACACAGTTTTTATAGTGTCTGTATATTTGTGATCCAATGGTCTTGTAAAGGTTTTTACTGAAAATTACCATTAGCCAGTCTTTCTTACTGACAATAAATTATTAATAAAATACTTTAGCTTTGCTCTGTGTATCTGTATTATATATAATATACAATTGACAAAGCATTCAGTGCAGCATTTTTAAGTTTGTATATGTTTTGTACTGTATGAAGTTAATTAATTGCTCCAAGCAACACATTTTTCTCTCCTCAGAAGTCAAACCGCAGCTGTGTTAGATGCTCACTAGATGGCAGTGTGTGTCTACTTAATGGTGTTCTAAAAAAGTAAACGGGCCAGTATGAATAAAGATTGATGGGTATCAAACTCCAGTAGCCTTCTGGGTAGTTTGCATTTTTCTTTAAACATATAATATCAGCTATTTAAATTACTGAGTATTTTTTCTTAAGTCCTCAAAATAGATACAGAAAAAATCCTGAGCCCTTTAAAGCAGTTTCTTCCTTTCTTAATCACCTGAATAGTTAATCTCAAGAATAATTGTCCCTTGATTATGTACTTGTGCTTGTACTTGATTTCTGTGCCACTTTGAGTTTGTGATAAATAGAGTGGGGGTTTTAGGCAATTATAATTGCAGTTTCCTGCATTAAGTAAGTTCACACTAGATGTTTACCTGTATATTATCCAGCTGCTTTTCTGATTAGAGCTTTGTTCTTGTCTCACAAAGTTCTCTAGCAGAAACTTGCCCTGATGATAAGGTAAAGCAATGAGGCAACTGTCATCTGCCTTTTGCACAAGGGATGCATTTTAAGGTCAGAACAGATTTCTTAGCACATTAGTGAATTTTTAATATAGCCTGGAATCCTTTCAGCTCTACCTCCATTTTTTTTTACATCTCCAAATGCTGTAGCTTGGAATGGTACAATATTAGATTCTCTCAAGCATGAGAGCTAAGCCTAGGTCTTCCACCATCTGGGGGAACAGCATACTGGGTTTGTATTTAGAGTGCCATTTACTCACAAAGTGGAACAACTGTCCAGTCTGGCAGCTGTATAATGGAAGTGGATGGATTACAGGACAGAGCCAAGTCAAGCACACATATTCCTTAGTCTTAATTCATCCATATGCAGGTAAAATCTCATGACCTATACAAAAAAAGGCTAAAAACAATGAGTTTAAAACCACGTCCTGGCTGTAAACTGCTGCAGTACTCACCCTGATAATGAAGAGCTTTTTGTACATTGGGATCAGTGCTAGCATTTTCTTATTTAATAGCTTTGAAAGAATCTTACAGAACTGCATCGTGCACTCTGTAGCAGTTAGGTTCACTGCTTAAGGTCCATCTTGTAATGAAGGTTAAGCTTAGCAGTAGTTCTGCTCAAGGATTCTTAGTACCTGCTTCTCCATAGGAATGAAACTCAATGAGAGGAAGACACTGCAGACTTGCATCATTTCTCAGTCGTCAAGGACTCCCAGTAAAGATGAAAGCCTGCCCTACATGTTCTTAAGTTGTCCATTTGCAGCAGAGAGGTCTGAAAACATATTTTTAAAACTGAGAAGTACACTTTTATTCACAGTACTGGGAACTGAAGGCTAATGTCAAACACCCTGTGAGGAGGAACAATGTCATTAGTCTGCAAAGAAACCCTACATCAGCTGAAGGAAACCTTCTTGAAAGTCTCAAAGCATCTTTTTTCCTTTTCTCAAGAACTTTGCTGCTAGGCAACACGCGGCAGAGGACAAGAGGGCAGTATAGCTAGCTGCCACTTAAGGAAATAACAGGCAGCTTCAACTCTATAACAGCTTTGCAGTTGGTGGGTAAAGCAAGGCCATGTTAAACAAATGCTCCCTTTGTAGAAGTACCGGGGGGTATTATCACCTAATTCAAGTCCAGTGAGCACAGTTAAACCTGTTTCCCACACAAAGCTACAGCAATACACAAGACCAACCTGGTAAGATTTTTAACCCAGTGAAACACCGATACAGCAGAGCATTGTTTGACTCAAGAGTAATCCAAGACACTCAAAAGCATTGGCCAGATGATTTATTTTATGAGGCAAACATTTTAAAACAGGGAATTTCAGTGAAGTCATACATTCAAGTCTATAGTTACTATTAGTATGTTTTACTTAACTCCTTATACATGTTAAGTGGCTAAAGTTAAATGCAAACTTCATCTCAGCTTTTGGGTAGTTGGCATATCCATATTGAAAGGTCTTAAAGCAATACCCCAAATCGAATAGTTGAGCTTGGAAGGCATCTCTGGACTGTCTCCAATGATGGAGACTAAAACCTCTCTGGGCAACCTATTCCAGTCTTCATTCATCCTCACAGGAAGAGTTTTATGTGTGGATGTAGTTTTGTGTGTTTGAGTTTGTGCCTATTGCCTCATGGCATCACCAAGAAGAGCCTGTCTTTACATCTTCACATTCATATACAATCGTATTCATAACCATTAGTAAGTTCACCAGTGAGCCTTCTCTTTTCCAGGCTGAACAGTCTCAGTTCTCTCAGCCTCTCATGAAAGAGGCTCCAGTCTCTTTCTTACCTTACTGTCCCTTTGCTGGACTCCAGTTAATTCTCTGTCCTTCTGCAGGAGAAGGTGTAATATATATATAAAAAAAAAATACTTACGAGATAGTAGAATTTAAAGTTTATTGAGTAGATTTGAGTCAAATCCATGGTTGTTGTGTCCAATCTACATTTGGTTTGGAATGTAGGAAATACCATTTTGCCTCAAAGCAGAGAACAAACTGCAATTCTACCCGATTAATAGTATTTAGTAGAGGTAAAAACAACAGACAATCCTATGAAGCTTGTTTCCATCAATATTTAACACTCACATCTGGTCTGAGGACTCCAGGATAGAGGTATACACTTACAAGAAGGAACAAGACCAAAAAGTACCAGCCTTTGGCCCCTTCTCCAAGGATATTTACTCAGATTTTTTTCCCCCGCTGTTCCCTGCTCTACCCATGAAACAAGTACTATCCCAAGCAACCAAGTCCAAGGAGAGTTCCTGCACTGCCAAAGGGAAACAAGTCTGAATCCACTTAGGCCAAAGAAGGTATTGAATCATTCTCTAACTGCAAGATACAAGGTCCACCCTTTTACTGGGGTAGAGGAGAAAGATCCACCATGGAGGTGGTGGATTCCTTCTATCTGATAAGCCCTTGAAGACAGCTGCAGGGATTAGTCTGTGCACTGTCCAGGTCACAGCTCTGCACACTAAACAGTAGCTGCAAACTGCCACCCAAGGTGCCCGAAACCTCCACACAAGGAGTCTGTGCACTTCACAGCAAAGCCATGCACATAGGCTACACACAAAAGTCAGACAGCCGAGAGGCGGGTGCCTCAGTATCTTTTCATAGCTCTTGCCAACTTTTAGCAGTAAATGGCTTTCAAGCCCACACAAGCCTTCATAAAAATATTAGAAAAGATGGCGTCCCCATTAAAGCAAACACTCTGAAGCATATGTAAATTTTGGCAGCATTATTCATTCTTCCACAGCTGGCACGTGGGAGAAAAACCAGAGAAGCTCAGTGCAATATCCCAGTATGTCTGCAAAGCAGGAAAATGAGCTCTTTGCTTTGATCTTAGAAAAGTTTAAGAGAAAGGTTATTAGAAGTACTTTCTCCTCATATAAGGTAAATACATTTCTGAACTGCTGATAATCAAAATCCTATTGATCACCAATGCCCACATCGATTGCTGAATCTGATCCATGGAGCATTCCAACCATAGCACAAATTTAAAACTTCACACACAAACAAGCTAGGCTTCTGCAGCAGCCACACAGGAGTCAAGGCTATCACTAAGAACAATGACATTGCAACCATTAAATGAAACTCTTTGCTCTTGTTCTAGAATTATCAAAGCTGAGCCATTTGTCTTTCTAAATACTTTGCTGCAGATGATCATTTCCTCAGTTTCTTTTATATTTATATGTTTGGAGCGGAAACATTCAGTGAGGAAAAGCACTGAGAAGCCCAATTATGCGAATGAGTCATTAATCCCCATGGTTCCAATTGGAAAACATGCTAAGCAGGATGAATTGCTTTCAGAGCTCACATTTAACTTTGAAAAAATACATAAGGAAAGTGGCTGCTGCATCAAAAAGGTTGCTTTCTAATTTTCTATCTTTTTCTGGAGAACTTGAAGCAGTGACAGTGGTTTACAGCATAAAAGTTCAAATGCCTCTTGTTTAAACAATTAATACTTTACAATGGCCATATAGATAACAGGCACTTCTGCTATGAGTTTCTTTGGGGGGGTGGGAGATTGGGGAAAGACCTCAGCTCACAGAGAAAAAGGCTAAAGAAAAAGATATCTTGTGTCCCAAGAAAGCAAGAACAATGGTGACAGGGATCAAGAAAAAAAAAGAAAAATATATAAACCCCAAGCCCCCCAACAACAACAATTTATCAGCTCAAGGCCAGGCAGCAGAGAAGCAAAATGTGAGGAAATTTGAAAATCTGAAGATAGCTACTGAAAGTATAAAGCAGTAGAGGCAAAGAAAGGGTTTGCTTT